TTGTTTACTTCTAGATCTTTGCCACAATCCTTTTAAATAAAATTGGTTACAATATCCTTTTGGTCTAAAAAATGGTTCCCCCATTTAAAAAAAAAAAAAAAAAAAAATACATATTTTATATATATATATATATTTTATAATACACATACATATATATATATATACACATATAACATATATCAATATACTTTGTCACCCATTTCAGAGCAAATACACAAATACTGAATACTTTTTTCTGCTACACTGTCCAGATCTAGGCCTATCATACTTGACACTTCCTGTCTTGAGGTCTTACCGCACTGCTGCACTGATACACCCAGATGCTGCACTCCTGCTGCTCTGCATCTGTGGTCTTCAGCGCAAGCAGGTTTTTTCCAGCACCCAGACCATCATCATAGCAAAGCATACGTACAATCAGGAAGAGCGGGTGACGGTGAAGCACATCCTGAGAAGACAGAGAATCAATAGCAAATCAGATACAGAGAGAAACACAGCCATGCTATCATTTCAGTCTACAGCACTGTGAAATGATGAGTGGGTAATGTTCTGTTTCAGTTCCACAGAATTATTATTATTTTGTGATTATGAATCTAAATGCTTTCATATGCTCCTATATTTGATGTATTAAAAAAAAGGGCCAAATCTCTCATACGAACACTAAAAGTTGACACTGGGTCAGGTGAATGAACTCACACACTGGTCCAATGAGGCCACTTTAACTCCATACTTAGACACTCCCAGAATCATCTCCTCATCTCCAGGAACAAACGGCAGTTTTCCATCTTGCTTAAAAGTGAATGCATGAGATATAATCAAAGTTTTTAAACAGCTTCAGACTCAATGCATAATATTATGATAACTATTTCATTTCTGCTTTATAATCAGTGGTGGCACTTTGTACCTCTCCTCTAGGCCATGAGATAAGATCAAGTACTCATCCAAAATATATTTCAACCTCAACCTAAATTAATCATAAGAATTATGGCTTCTACAAAAGTAAAGTGGTCACATGATACAAAGTTTGCTAGATTAAAAAAAAAAAAAAAAAACTAATTTACTAAACATGACTATCAAACATGAAGGAGAAATTTGAAGGAGATCCTCTGCAGTGAATGGGTGCCGTCAGAATGAGAGTCCAAACAGCTGATAAAAACATCACAATAATCCACACAGCGTCGGCGCCACGGGGGGGTCTGAGGGGGCCCGGCCCGGCCACCTCGGTCACTGTGCCCCCTCACCTCTGGTGCAGTCTCCGTAGTGGGCGCCCTGATTTTAGTCGGTGAGGCAAGGTACTGCCCTGTTTCAGCTGTTAGATCGCGCCGGCGCCTCACACGCACACTAAGCTACTGCATTCATTGGAAACAGCTCAGCCGTTCACCGTGCCGTTCGGCGTGAGACCCGGTCCACTGTGGCATATTAAGCTTATATTATTATATACTGCAATTATATTTATCCATTAGAATTATATATTTTAAAATTCTTATTCTGTTCTGATACGGTTAAATTTAAAGGATTTGTTGTAAAGTGAGGGGAACTAAAATATCCTATAGTGTTCATAATGTTGGTACATTATAACATTATTAGGCCTGCTGCTATTATTTCTGAAAATGCAACTTATACGAGACGCATATTTTTTTTATTTTCCTCAAAACACTTTTTTTTTTTTAAATTGCGTTTTTAAAAGCATGCAGCAAACGAAAATATGCGATTAATCTGTTAAAATTTGTTACTGTGGGTTAACAAATTTACATTAGTAGGCTATTCTTATGCTTGGCTTCACAGATAGCAACAGAGTCTGGGCCAAATCTGGTTTACATTCACTTCTGGCTTTTTTCAGTCTTGATTGCAAATGTTTGTTTTTTTTAATGTACGATGGATAATTAAAACAAAAATCAGGCGTGTGTATTTATAACATCAATTACTAGGCCTACATTCTTTTTTTCAGAAATGGAAGTAACTTAAAATGTTATTGTGTGTTTGTAATTTTAATATTTGTATCTATAGGCCTCTATACAGCAAAACTACAGAGCTTCCAGTAGGTTATTTTACGGAGCTGTAAACACGGGAATCTCCGACCGCATGCAATCTTTGACGAACACCCAATTCATATATCAAACTAGGCTATGTTATTAAATTGTACATAGGCTATATATCAGATTATTTTATTTACAAGTTTCATGTTTGTGTTTATCCCGTTTTTCCCCCGTTGCATCTGAAAATTAATTTCAGAAACATTTTTTTTTTAAAGCAGCCCCCCAATAAATTGTGCCTGCCCCCTCACTTTGTGCGCTCTGGCGCCGACCCTGAATCCACATGACTCCAGTCCACCAATTAACATCTTGTGAAGCGAAAAGCTGTGTGTTTGTAAGAAACAAATCCATCAAGAAGTTTTCATTTTAAACTTTAACTTTAAACTGAAAAAAGTCCATTATATGTTGTCCTCTCACATCAAAATGCGCTGTCATATTTGTTTAGAATTGTTTTGGCCTGTTTTTGTGCATATTTCTCTCCTGATTAAGATGGAATGACCTCTTCACTGGAGAATACAATTTTAGGGATAATGGACTCATATTTTAGCTGGATTTTGATGGATTTGTTTCTTACAAACATGCAGCGTTTCACTTCACAAGATGTTACTTAATGGACTCGAGTCATGTGGATTACGGTGATGTTTTTATCAGCGGTTTGGACTCTCATTCTGGCGGCACCCATTCACTGCAGAGGATCCACTGGTGAGCAAGTGATGTAGTGCTAAATTTCTCCAAATCTGTTTCGATGAAGAAAACTCACCTAAATCTTGGATGGCCTGAGGGCGAGTACATTTTCAGCAAATTTCCATTTTTTGGGTGAACTATTCCTTTAAGAGTTCACACATCTAATCGTCTCCTTTTGTAGATCCTTACCTGAGCCTCATCGATGTAGTTGATCAGGTCTAGAGGCTCCTGCAGGGTTTTGCTCATCTCAAACTGCAGCTTCTTGATGGCTCCCACATACTTGACTCTGAACTCAGCACAAGTGTCAGACACGGCGTTACCTGAGGGTTCAACAAGGTCAGGAACTAGTCAGGGTCACAAATGTACACACATGAGTCTCTAGATGTTTCAGTGAGGACTAACTTGAGCTCTTGGTGGAGTCCGTATCAAGACTGGCGACTGTGCTTGACCTAGACAGGCCTCCCAAACTGGAATCTACTGACTGGATAAAGGGAGATTAGAGTTTATCATGACCTTTGTGGAAAACAGAACTCAGCAGACAGAATGGCTGAAATCCGATAATAGCTGCATCCCAAATGACGCACTATGCACTCATACAGTATGTACTTATGCACTATGTACTGAATCATGTAGTGTATGAATTATATATGGTTATTTTGTCATTCATAATCGGAGTCTGGTAGCCCCTCCCCCTTCGCTACGTAATTAAAGCCGCTGCGACAGCTGAGTGCATGAAGTGTCCAACATTCCACACTTAATTTTTTCGGTATATTTAAGTGCATCATCCACGTATTTAAAGTGCACTTTTTGTCTTTTTGGAATTTTCAATGTGAACGCACTACTCGCACTATTTATACTACAAAACGTCATAGAATAGTGCGTAAGTGCACGATTTGGGACACACCTAATGTAATATATACTGTTTGATGTGCAAATGGAAATTCAGCCAATATTTGTTTATGATGTATGTACTTAATGACTGCTGGTAAACCAACCTTGCTTTTAGTGCTGACCTCACTGCTCTGGGAGCTGCTGCTGCTGTGGCGCTTCTTGACCTTTCGAAACATCCTTCACCATGACGCCAGTGCTGCAGGTCTCCAGCTTACCAGCAGATGGCAACAGAGTCTGAGGAGATTTAGCTTTAGATTTAGATTAGTACTATTTCAATTCCTCAAAATCATCTTAGAAACCCATAGTTTCCTGTAAAGATGGATTTTAATCAAAGAACAAACATTTAAATAACATGATTTCAAGGTTCATACACTGTTTGACCAATGTTTTTTTTTTTTCCTTTGGTAGATTTCCATTTGAATGTCAGGTACTCATTTTTAAAAGAATGTATGCTTCACAGTGTACAATTGACACTAATAACACTAAAGAGAAAGTACAATATGCTAGCCAATTAAATATTTTAGAAAAGAGCAAACATAGAAACAAATATAGAAATAAATGTGAAAATATGAAGAAAAAAAATCATGTTCTTCCAGGCCTTGAACTCAAAAAATTATTCTCAGGAAATAATTCTCATTATTTGATACTAGGAACCTATGGAAGATTGATTCCATAAAAAAAAAGAAAAAAGAAAATTCCAAAAAAGGTAACCGTATCTCACAATTCTGACGTTTATTTTTGCAATTCTGATTTTATATCTCACAATTCTTTCTTTTTTTCTTGCAATTTTGAAAAAAAAAAAAAGTCTGAATTGTGAGCTATAAAATCTGAATTGCGAGATACAGTATAAACTCAGAATTGCAAAATATAAAATCGCAATTCAATGAAGAAAAGTATGAATTGTGAGATAAAAAGTTACAATTATCTTTTTAGTTTTTTTATTCTGTGGCGATTTTTTATTCTGTGGGAATTGTGAGATGTCAACACAGAAAAATTTCAAGATATAAACACAGAATTAAGAGATGTAACGTAAACTCTGAATCGTTACATCTGATTGATTTTCCTCAAAAAACTTCAGAAAATCAGAAAACGTTTCCGCCCCAGAAATGCAAGTTTTAATAAATATCTCACAATTCGGACTTTTTTTTTTTAACCTTATTTATTTATTTTAACCCGTGACAGAAACCGCTTCCATAGGAATCAGACTTTGAGATATTGTAAAATAAATAAAATATTCTACAAACATAATAAAAGCAAATTAATCTACAATTATATAATTTATTTATATATAGTATTATATATTATATTTTCTGGCTAAAATTACTATTATTCCTTCATTATAAAATAATATCGTAATACATCACATCATTCATTAAATCACTTTTTTAAATTCTTAACAGTTAAAAAATGTGTAAACAAAACTAACTATTAACCAAAAAACTATGTGCCCATGAGTGAAAACTGAGAGCTGTCTCAGCGTTCCTTATGTAGTATTTCTTCAGATATAATAAACATATTACGTTAAGAAAAACCCTGCCTTTTAGAGTATGAGAAACAGCACGGACGTGTTCTGGGGTTCAGGGCACTCCACGAGCCCACGCCCCATAAAACAATGGTGCCAAACTTTGAGTAACTTTCTAAGGATCGCTTTATGACTTCTTCTAGGCGCGAGCTCACCGCGAGCCCATTGTTAATAAAAACCCCGCGGAAAGTAACGGAAACCCGTTGCTAGGACAAACCCAGTCTATGGGACAAACACTCAGCAGCACCCCACGTCCAACTTGACTAATGCGAGCGCAAAGGGCTCTTATTTGGTCGTTTATTGGCATCTCTACAATTAAATATGGAGAATTTGAACTTGGAAAACAAGCACACTGGGCATACCTCTATTTTGAGCTCACTATGCAGCAGTGTACGGCTGTAATGATTATTAATAGGTAGGTTCATCAAAGCAGCGGTCGGCGGCTCTCTCTGTTTTGGCGAGACTTGCGTTGACACTACACTTCCTGTGCGGCTCCACCCAGCACTTCTTAAAGGGGACGCACGATCGTAAATGGCTGTGTTTACATTGGATTAACAACTTGAATTTACTACTAGCCTACTATTAAATACTGCATAGTATATTACCTAATATTTTAAAATAGCAGACGTGGATATGTTTACAACTGATATTAGCTTACTAACTGTAAACTCTACATAATCTAGCCTATATGTATTTATTTATTTATTTACTCATTTATTAAATATCAAGTAGCTTAGAATGGAGTCCATTCTAAACATTGAATTTACTACTAGCCTACTATTAAATACTGCATAGTATATTACCTAATATTTTAAAATAGCAGACGTGGATATGTTTAAAACTGATATTAGCTTACTAACTGTAAACTCTACATAATCTAGCCTATATGTATTTATTTATTTACTCATTTATTAAATATCAAGTAGCTTAGAATGGAGTCCATTCTAAACAGATCATCTTGCAATTTAATAAATAACTAAAATTGTGTGTATACAGCTTACATTTATTTGTTATTGCCATTGGCATAACTTGCTTGGCATAACTAGAAACATGTATATTCATTATATTATTATTATAAGATTTTATTAATTTACATTACATTTCCAGGTCTAGAAATCAGAGTTTTAAAATTAGGCTTCCTTTTATATCCAGGTTTTTCAAGACTTAAAATAAGAAATATCTTGATTTTAAATTGTTTTTGGCATCCTTTAAATGCTTGTTTTGTCTTCTTTTATTCACTTTAAGTCATTGGAGGTTTGCTGAGGTCCCCTATGGGCCCCGGCCCCTTAGTTAATAACCAATTATTTGTTTATTTATAATAGTAAATTGCCATGTTTAGAATGGACTGAATAACAGTTTATTTATTAAATAGTAAATGGTTATTTTTAGAATAGACGGAATGACACCTTAGTAAACTACATACGGTTTATTTATTTAATAATTAGTAAGTGGTTATGTTTACAATAGATGGAATGACACCTTAGTTAGCTATATGCAATACGGACGGTTTATTTATTTAATTAAATATCCAGGTTTTTCAAGACTTAAAATAAGAAATATCTTGATTTTAAATTGTTTTTGGCATCCTTTAAATGCTTGTTTTGTCTTCTTTTATTCACTTTAAGTCATTGGAGGTTTGCTGAGGGGCCCCGGCCCCGTCCCCTTAGTTAATAACCAATTATTTGTTTATTTATAATAGTAAATTGCCATGTTTAGAATGGACTGAATGACACCTTAGTAAACTACATACGGTTTATTTATTTAATAATTAGTAAGTGGTTATGTTTACAATAGATGGAATGACACCTTAGTTAGCTATATGCACTCTATACGGTTTATTTATTTAATTAATAGTAAGTGGACGTGTTCTCAAGCCAGCTATCGGCGCGCGCTGTAGTCTTTGAAGACAGGAAAGCGTTCAATGCGTAGAAGTGAACGATTCAAAGATTCAAACTCTGAATCGTTTTGAAACGAAGCACCACATTGCTGCTTCCTAGTAGACTTGAAGTCGTCAGGTGTTGCTGTTACTATGTCGACACTAAAGAAAGTTATATGGCCCCAAATCATTCTCTTCGGCGACTCAATAACACAGGTAACAATTTGGGGACACAGGGCACTTTGGGTTTTGTTCTTTACTCTGGCATGCCGTGTTTTTGTTTCAGTTTGCGTTTCAAGCGAACGGATGGGGATCCGAAATCTCTCATAAACTCGCCAGGTACAGATTTTATGACAGCACGGATGTATTATTGCATTCATACCGCTGTGGCGGATGATTTGATCATTCCTTTAATTTATTAGAAAATGCGACGTGGTAAACAGAGGCTTGTCGGGTTACAACACAAGGTGGGCTAAGATTGTGCTTCCTCGCATCGTGCCCATTTCTGATGCTCCTATTGCGGCTGTGACCGTCTTCTTCGGCGCTAATGATTGTGCAGTGGAAGGTAAGAACATTTCACGTGTCATTTCAAGATCTAAACATCAGCGGCAGCGATACTAGCCTATCTATGAGACACTTACAAACCTTTCTTTCCAGACAAGAACCCCGCGCAGCACGTGCCTCTCCAGGAGTTCACGGACAATTTAAAAGATATTGTCAAATATCTGCTGTCTATAGGAGTGTCCAATGACAAGATCATCTTCATCACACCACCACCACTTCAAGAAGCCGCCTGGGAGAAAGAGTGCTTGCTAAAAGGTGACACCTCCTCTCCTGAATTTAGGCTGTGTTCAATACTAGTGTACTGCATGCTGCACAGCGTAGTGTTAGAAAATAGTATGTGAAATAGTATGCAATGTTGTATACGGTAGTATTCTATACTGCCATCATATGACCTCATTACTTTTATTCAATTAAAATAATGTAAAAGTAATGTAAAAGACATTACACTTATTTAATTAAAATAATTAAGTTTATTTAGAATTTTATGTTAAACAGTCTGAACAAATAGATCAAAGATGGTAATCATGCTGGATTCTTCATTTGAGAGCCTTGCATTGAGGGATACAGTACTGCATTTTCATTGGAACTTCATTGTTGAGAGAGAGAACACACACATACACAGATAAGTTGCATTGTTGTGTAAGACACATTTTAATTATTACATTAAGAAATGATATAAAATACCAGTAAATAAAACTAAACATTAAGAAACATTAGTTACACTATAAACAACAAATCTTTTAAAGGAATGGAAAAATATACAATATAAAACAATTCTTTATAAACAACATCTGCTGTTAAAACGTTTTTCTCAAATCTTGGATTAAAATTGACTTGCAAATTATAACCAGATCACTTCATTAAGCGTGCAACTTGACAGTGTCATGTGACAGCAGTGTAGCAAACTATATGAAACATGTATTGCTGCATACTATTTTTTGTTTCGCATACTATTTTAAAAAATGACTTGGCAGTATATAGTGTGTGGAGCAAGCAGAACTTAAGTATTTAGTTACAATGATAGCCTCAGTCTCTCTATCCCTCTCACACACATACACATAATGAATATGGTTTTCGGTGTGTTTAAATGCTCTTTTTTTATCAGGCATCGTGCCCATTTCTGATGCTCCTATTGCGGCTGTGACCGTCTTCTTCGGCGCTAATGATTGTGCAGTGGAAGGTAAGAACATTTCACGTGTCATTTCAAGATCTAAACATCAGCGGCAGCGATACTAGCCTATCTATGAGACACTTACAAACCTTTCTTTCCAGACAAGAACCCCGCGCAGCACGTGCCTCTCCAGGAGTTCACGGACAATTTAAAAGATATTGTCAAATATCTGCTGTCTATAGGAGTGTCCAATGACAAGATCATCTTCATCACACCACCACCACTTCAAGAAGCCGCCTGGGAGAAAGAGTGCTTGCTAAAAGGTGACACCTCCTCTCCTGAATTTAGGCTGTGTTCAATACTAGTGTACTGCATGCTGCACAGCGTAGTGTTAGAAAATAGTATGTGAAATAGTATGCAATGTTGTATACGGTAGTATTCTATACTGCCATCATATGACCTCATTACTTTTATTCAATTAAAATAATGTAAAAGTAATGTAAAAGACATTACACTTATTTAATTAAAATAATTAAGTTTATTTAGAATTTTATGTTAAACAGTCTGAACAAATAGATCAAAGATGGTAATCATGCTGGATTCTTCATTTGAGAGCCTTGCATTGAGGGATACAGTACTGCATTTTCATTGGAACTTCATTGTTGAGAGAGAGAACACACACATACACAGATAAGCTGCATTGTTGTGTAAGACACATTTTAATTATTACATTAAGAAATGATATAAAATACCAGTAAATAAAACTAAACATTAAGAAACATTAGTTACACTATAAACAACAAATCTTTTAAAGGAATGGAAAAATATACAATATAAAACAATTCTTTATAAACAACATCTGCTGTTAAAACGTTTTTCTCAAATCTTGGATTAAAATTGACTTGCAAATTATAACCAGATCACTTCATTAAGCGTGCAACTTGACAGTGTCATGTGACAGCAGTGTAGCAAACTATATGAAACATGTATTGCTGCATATTGCATGCGGTTTCGCATACTATTTTAAAAAATGACTTGGCAGTATATAGTGTGTGGAGCAAGCAGAACTTAAGTATTTAGTTACAATGATAGCCTCAGTCTCTCTATCCCTCTCACACACACACACATAATGAATATGGTTTTCGGTGTGTTTAAATGCTCTTTTTTTATCAGGTTCAGCTTTGAATCGGCTGAACTCTGTGTCTGGTCAGTATGCACAGGCCTGCGTTCAGGCTGCTGGACAGTCTGGTGTGGATGTTCTGGATCTCTGGACGCTCATGCAAAAAGACGGGTAGGTAACACGCATGCTGGCAAAACCATATAGTGAATTAACGTATAAAAATCAGAACTAGAATACAAACAAATAGTTTTTCCCCTCAGGATTTCTCAGTGTATCTTTCGGACGGACTTCATCTCTCTGATAAAGGCAATCAGTTTGTGGCAGAGCATTTATGGACACTTCTTGAGAGGCGAGTGACTGATTTGCCTTTCATTCTGCCTTACTGGGGGGATGTGGACCCAAAATGCCCTGAGAGCAGCCTACTGTGTGATTAAAACATAGGTCAAATGATGCACAGCGTGCAAAACACCATTCAGTTCCTGTGGTTTATATTTGGACATTTTTGGATATGCTTATCGTCATAAATTGTGTAAGGACCATCCACCAGTCACGACTCGATTTGAAAACAGGAGGTGTTTTGAGTTACTCAAGTTAAAACACAGATGTCACAGATAATGTTTAATGTTCTGCCAAAAATATATTTAGATTTCTGAACGATTAATGTTTTGGTGAGGCCAATTGATTTATTGAGCTTCTTATACGCACTAAGCTTTTTAGTAGGGACAATAATGGCTTTCACTTCTGGCAATATCAAATGTATTTTCTTTCAGGGTCATAAAATAATCAGAAACACTTCAGTGGAGAGTAGTGCTGTCAAACGATTAATCGTGATTAATCGCATCCAAAATAAAAGTTTTTATTTACATAATATATGTGTGTGTACTGTGTATATTTATTATGTATATATAAATACAAACATGCATGTATATATTTAAGAAAAATTTAATGTTTATATATTAAATATATTTATATAAAATATAATAATATAAATGTATATACATGTAAACATTTTCCAGATATATTCTGTATGTGTGTATTTATATATACATAATAAATATACACAGTACACACACACGTATATTATGCAAACAAAAACTTTTATTTTGGATGCGATTAATCGTTTGACGGCACTAGTGTAGAGACAGTTTATTTATGTGGCTTCAAACCCCAAGAATACATGTAAAATAAATGTGACATAACCAAAATCAAAAACACACACATTGAATGATAGCAGAATGAGATCAGATACAGCTGTCTACATTCAAGTGAGATGTTTTAATTACTTCTGATTTGATATACAGGAAAGTAAGAAACAATACAAAATATATATTTAGTCATTTGACTTATGGCACATTAAAACTTGACAAGATCTTAAAATTCGACTGTAATGGTTAAAGTCAGATATTTCACAGTGGGGGAATACTATTATCGATTCATTTTGGTCACATCTATCTATACAACCGTTTTAGTGGCAAAAAGAGAAAACCTATGAAATATGCACATCCCTCGGCTCTGTAATCAGTGTTTCACATATTCATACTGCTATGTTAAAATGACATGAGATGCTATAGAGTATATAGTAGTACAAATTAAACTGAACAAACCTTAATGCAAAAAATGATGAGCAATTTCTATCTTTAAGCCTTAAGAACAGGTAAAATAAAACTCATAAATTGCATCTCGTCTTACAGTTTCCAAACACGTATGACATTTAATTCATAAACATATGGCATAGAACATAATTTTTGGATAAACTATCAATTTAAACTCATAGACTTTTGTCTTTTTGCTGGCTTCTGAAACTGCCGAGTCATATTTCACAGCCAAAGATGCTGTCCAAAGCTATATTGAATTTATTCCTTGAATTTTTGAATTGACCAAATGCAAAGTCATTTCTCTTGGCAGTTTCTGACATGCTTGTAAGTAGCACTCTATTTTTAACAACTACAATTGTGCATTAAAGGAATGCTACAAAATTTCTAAGAACCAACCGAAATGTGTCAGCAGTTTACACATCACATCCACTTTTAAATGCACGAACAAAATGAAGCCTGATTGCACCCTGATCCTCACAGCTCAAGTCATTTTTGACAGTTATGCCAGTGTCCTCAGCACTCCGTCTCCTTACTGTCAATGCGCGCCTGTCTCGTCAGCCGTCTCTTGTCCCCGCGGGATGGCGTTGCCTGTCCGGTGAGGTCCTCGAAGGACCTGGCAGCTGTGCCGCTTTGACGGAAGCCGTCCTCCTCTTCCAGGTGAGAGGAGTCTCCGCTGGGGTCCTCCTCGATTGTGGCCATTCGCAGCGGATCCGCTTTGGGTGCGGCGGAGAGGTTGGCAGGGTCTGGGCCGGCGAGCGTCTCCTGTGCCGGTGAGACGCCGGGGCCCGTGGGGCCCAGTGAGGGCTGAGGTCGCGGATGAGAGGCCTTCACAATGCGGATGGGCGCCGATTCCAGACCGCTCATCATCTCTGCGCTCTAAGGACAGAATTTGTGATGGAATAAGTAAGGGAGACTTATCGTAGTATTCACAACATCTTGCATAAATAGGGATGGGCATGAGTACTCGGAAGTGACAGCAATCATTGATTATCAAAGTACTGTGTATCATAGATTTTTATTTTCTTCCTGTCAAAAACATTTAGACCAGTGGTTCTCAAAGATATTTCTTTTGGTATTACTGCTGAAATTGACAATGCTGCTTGATTTTTATTAAGAGAAACTAGGAGTGTTGATACATGAACATTCATTTTGTGATTTTAAAAGATATTTTTGAAATGTATATTTTTCAATAAATATAATTATTAATGGGAAAAATAAATTATTTCAGTTTACACTTCTTTTGTTTGTAGCAATTTAAGTATTTCTAAAAAAAATATTATTTAGTCATTTTAAGTTGTCCCGTGGCCCCCTTGGAAGTTTGCTGATGGTTAAGAACTACTGATTTAAACTGAACACAGTGAAACAAAAACAAAAAAAAGGGGTTCTGAGAACAAAATTGAACAAAAAAAGTGGTTTTAAACTATTTTTAACATGGTATCTTAAAACGGTGTCTGAATTACCAGAAAAACGCGATACAAAGACATCTGAATGATGTTTATGTACGTAAGCCAACTAATGATGAATGAAAACTTTTTAACAAATTTTGAATTTTTTGCATTTAAAAATAAAATTATTTTGTTGCACAACACATTGCATGTTTGTCTTTGGTTTTGGTATATTTCTTTTGTTTTTCTATGGTCTTCTGTTATGTTGTCTACTTTAAATAAATAAATAAAAATTATTATTATTATTTTTTTTTTTTTTACTTATTTTTATAATAGCACTTTTACTGAAACTTGGACAAATTAGATATATTATTATTTAAAAATAAAATTATTTTTATAATAGCACTTTTACTGAAAATTCTTCACAAATAAAATATATATATATATCTTTTAATATAAATATATAAAAATAAGCAAAAAAGCCACAAGTCATACATGTACAGCCACGCTCGCCCATACTAGCCCTGATAAAAGACGCCATGCTAACTGGATGAGCAAGTTATTATGTTACTTTGGGGTGCTGGATGACTTTAATGCAGGTTTAGTTTGTTAGTTAGTTTGTTAGTTAGTTTGTTAGTAATCTGATCTCCGCTGCGAGAGAAAGGAGCCATGGTGGAGTTTTAGTTTTGTGACAGAAGGACTTACACTTGGGTACATCATGGTTTTGGAGTTTTCCTCATATTGCTGATCCAGTTTCTTGTCCTATTAATGAGTAAAGAGAAACGATCAATGTAATGTCTTGACTTTAAAGGGTTCGTTTAGCCAAAAATGACAATTCTGTCATCATTTACACTACACCATAGTACTATTTCTTCTGTGGAAGTATTATCAGAAACAGAAGTTTCTGAATATGACCGCAATACAAATGAGAATATGGCAAAATACCATCAAATTTCAGTCTGTTCCTCACAGTGTTATTGCTGAATTGAATTTAACTGAAATTTGTTTATAAACTGTACAAAATAACAAGTATCCCATACATTTTAAAAATTCTATTGCAGTTCTAACTAAAATGTATTTTTGTTGATTGAAATAAAGCTGAAATAAAATCAGATAGAAATATCAGATGAAAACTTAAACGAAATTTGAAATGAATACGTTTTAAAATGACTAAAACAGAAATAAAAATAAAAACTAAATAGACACAAACAAAAAAACTAAAACAAATGACAAAACCATAACCATAACATAACAAAATTATAAAAACTTAAACTAGTTTATATCAAAATTACCAAAACTTACATTTAAATGAAAACTAAAAGTATAAAAAAAGCTAATTTAAAATATTAATAAATACTATAATAGTATATACACATATTGCTAACATACTGTTTAAAAATATAAATATCTTTATAACTTAAATGATTTTAGCAAATGGCTGCAATATAACAAAGAGTGAGAAATTTAAGGGGGTCTGAATACTTTCCGTACCCACTGTAAGTATAAATAAGTATATTAAAATGACAAACTCAAATTTAATAAAAGAAAACTTTTATTATAAAAATTAAAAGCTAATTCAACCCTAACCTATATTAATTAATACTATAATAGTGTATAAATAATTCTAACATACTAATTCCTCACACAAAGTTATCGCTTGGCTTTAGAAGACATGAAATATAGAGTGTTTCATGAACCACTTTTATAATACTTTTAGGGACTGTCAAAATTCAAACCAGTTGCACAGAAGAAAGTCAGAGGTTTGGAAGTACACGAGTGTAAGTAAATGATGACAGGGTGGACTATCCCTTTAAGAAAAATCAATTCAGAAAAACCTATTGACTGTGAAATAAGTCTCACCACACAGTGCACCAGTATGCTTAGGGGAATCCAGAAGACGAGAGAGAAGACCACCACTGATCCAACTATGTTGTCAGCCAAGAACTTCCCTGCACATTGACAGAAAAGAGTCACTCACCACTAGCATTTACAAAACATACAGAAAAAGTCCTAGCTAAATTCACCGTTATCATCCCTTACCAAATGTGTTGATGTCCAGTTTGTCAATGAAGTCCCATAAACGTTCGATGACATCTTGGACGTGCTTCATGCATTTACCCTGGAATGAACACCACCACAGCATTCATCACGCTAATGAATAGAAAACACTATTCAGTCTGATAAATGGTCAAAACATAGACGAGCAGTGTACTCACTGCCCCGTCACAGAAGCCAACGGTACAGGGTTTGCCCTTGCGCAGGTAAAGATATGACCCATCACTGTCAAAGGGAGTGCACAGCCCGCTCCTGCTTCTACAGCACACTTTACACGAGTTCTCAGTCTCTGAAAAACATCACAGCAAATGGACAGACTCAGCACTTCTGCATTCATAATTACAGGTAAAACGTTGAACACTTATTAGTATGTGTGTTTTGGTACTAGTTTCAGTGTACATAAACCCTCTCAATTAATGAGCCAATATAACACAATTTTGAAATGGTATGCATCCCAATATCTGCAGTTTCTGTTTACATATATCTGGGATCAATGTTGTGTAATGCCAGGTTCAGACTACACAATATTTTTGTCAGTCACGATAGTCACTGTGTCAGATTACACGATTTTGACTCCTAAAATCTTGTTGTGTCGTGGACAAAAAACATGTCAGACTACACGTTGCTTCCCGACCATTCATCGCGTGCCGTCTTTAACAACGCGCGTGATGTCATCAAGAAGGACGGAACAAGCGACGAAAAAAAATTAAACATGCTAGTCTTTCTGTCGTGATGTCGTGAAGCATCGCAGACGCGGAATAGGTTGTCGTCCACTATGACACACTACACGAGCTGAAA